TTATTTTTTTTAAAAAAAAAAAAAAAAAAAGGAATGAGAGGGAAAGGCGTGAGAGCCATGGGGGCTGGCTGAACAGGGACAGCCAGTGGAGGGGTGCCTGCTGAGCCCACCCTGTCCCTGCCTCGTGGAACGTTCTCCTCGGGACCCCAGTGTGGGGGGCGGGGGGTGCCCGGGATCCCATAGATGGGCACGTGTGTTTGGGGACAAACCCGTAAGGCGCCCTGGGCCTGGCATTTTAAAACTCTGGCCCAGAGACAAGAAAGCCCGCAGGCAGAGGTAACAGCTGCTGTTACCTGAGGACTGTGGTGGGGGGATCATCGCCACCTTGAAAAGGAAAAGAAAGCACAGTGAGGACTTGGGACGGCCCAGCATGGGCACTCGCGACCAAGGGTGCTCAGCCCCATGATGCGGGTTACTTACGGCTTCGCCAGGCTGCAGGGCTGGGGCTGTGGAGGAGAAAACACACATCACCACGGGGCCGAGCAATGGCCTCAGCCCCGGGTGGGGTCCGTGGGCCGGCAGAGGCTCAGGTGGGTCCCACCTCCACGCCTTTGCCCCGCAGTACCCTGAGCCTGGCTGCTTGTCCTGCCACATTCCTCAGGTGCACTTGGGGGTGGTGGGGCCTCCCAAGCACCCCAGGACGAGCCACCTCCTCCCCAAACATGGCAGAGTGGGCAAGCTACACTCCTTAAAAAGCTTCTCTAGACTCTGGTACTGCCAGGAGAACAGAGCCCTGACACTCCCCTGGCTCTCAGCAGGTCCCTCAGGCAAGAGATCACCTTTAGCCCCAGGCGACCCCAGGGCAATGGGCGTCTCTCCACTGGGGAGTCTCATGGCCCCCTGGGCTGACTAAGCCCAGCATCCTGCCCTGCTCCGGGAGCTCGGGTGAGAGAGCGATGCTAAGCAGGCAGGAGGAGTGAGAGCCAGGGACCCCACAGCAGACACAGCTGTGCAGCAGCCCTTGGAGCTGACCCTGAAACACCCATCCTGACGGAGGCTGGGCCTGGAACCCTGGGTGGAGAGGGGTCTAGCCTCTGACACTCAGCTCCCGAGAGTACAATAGCTCCTGAAGACACCCAGCGTTGGCTGAGTGTGGGCGGGCAAGGGTCTCACAGAGGCCAGGTGGGGCTTCCTGGAGAGTGGTGAGCAGGCCCTGGCCCAGGCTCTGACCAGCTCTCGCCAAGTGCCCACTGGTACCAGCCTTGATTTCTCTGTGCACTGAGGGGTCAGATCCACTGGCTGGACCATCTGCTCACAGGGGCACAGCAGCAGGGACGCCTTCTCTTGGGTGGAAGGTGTCCAGGCCTAGGGCGACAGTGTGCGCAGTGTGGGTAAGATGGTGGAGGGGGAGCCCCACTGTCACTGCACCATCCTGGCACCCCAGGAGGGGGGAGATGGGTGCAGCTGTCCAAGCCACTTGGTGCCCACTTACCCCTGCCCTCAGACTAGCGCTGCCAGGACCCCAAGGTGATGCCCCCCCTGCTAAGAGGGGTCAGAGCTCGGCCTCGAGGAAGGTCCCCTGATGATGAGTAGCCCCAGTGCCCTGTACCCCAAGACCTTCCAACTCCGCACAGGAACATGGGAAGGAAGCGCTGCTCCTCTCGCAATGAGACTTGAGTCACATGACACGGTCCAGCTCCCTTCCTGTCCTCTTTGTGGGTCTGCTTTGGGCCTGCACGCCCCTAGCTGCAGGCCCACTTCTCTGTGCCCCTGGGCACCAGTAGGAGCCATGCCCTGTCATAGGGCATGCACTGGTCAGAACACCTCTGACTGGACAGGGTCTAGCCATGGTCATAGGGGAAATACCTTTGTTTTTTCTGTAGAAGACCCTGGGGAGTTTACTGGAGCGCTTGAGGTAGAAGAAACCAGCCACGGAGAGGATGAGGCCCGCGCTGATGAAAAATGTCCCCAGGAAGAGCGAGGCCGCCACGTGAGGACCTCCTGCAAGCAAACAGGCAGCTGGACAGGGTGTCCCAGGGCTCCTCGCCTGACTCCCTAGCCCCAGGGGACAGGGTGTCCCAGGGCTCCTCGCCTGACTCCCTAGGATGCCCACCATGAGCAGCAGGCCCCATTCCCTGCACACACCTGGCCCATAGCTGGGGGCCGAGGACTCTGCACTTGGGGGCTTGGTTCACCCCTGCAGGCTCAGCCACACCTGGCCATGGCATCTGGGGAAGTTACTCAGCCTTGCCTGGCCTTAGGCTTCTCACGGGAGGGTGGGATGCTGAGAGGCTTAAAGGAGCTGGCCCCTGGCCAGGCTCAGTTCCTCCAACTCTGAGCCTTGAAAGCACCAGGCCCTGGCCTCCCTGGCTGGCGCCTCCCTCGGACTCAGAACAGACTGTGCGGCCCCCACACCCTCTGGCACTTGGGGTCAGAGCCTTCAGCCTGGTGGCAGGTACTCCAGCTAGACCCTCACCACTCAGACACCTGTTATTGTCATCCGCCCATCGTTACCAACTTGGGACAAGGACAGGCTGGTGAGCTGATGGCTGAGGGGTCTGGACAGTAACTGTCAGCTGGATGTGCTTTTACTTTACTTTTTAAAATTATTTTTTGGCGGCTGGCCGGTATGGAGGTCTGAACCCTTGACCTTGGTGTTACAAGGCTGCACTCTAACCAGGGGAGCCAATTTAGGTGCCTGGGGAGATTTTCTGACCCTGAGACAGGGGAATTTGCTGGACTCACAGGCCTTGCTCCATTTCACCTGGGCATCAAGCGACAGGAGGCCAGAGACCCGACTGACCCTGTTCTAAAACATGCTGAGGGGTGCAGATGACCTCAGCCATCCAGGGTTGAGGCCAGCCTACAGCCACCTGGAGTCCACTTTCTGATGGGGCGGCGGAGGGTCCTGAGACCCTCTCAAAACAGAACCATAGGCCCAGGCTCCAATCCAGCACATCCTCTGCCTATTGATAAGGGTCTGGGGTGACATGGCCCCCATGGTGACCTGGTCACCTCAGCACAGGAGGCAGCTGTGCCCTGGGACTGGGTCCCACTAACTCCTCACCAGCCATGCCCCCACAGCTCAGGACCATGCCCTCAAGGCTTATCACCACGCCTCTACCGGCCACGCCCTCTGGACCCAGTCACACCCACGTCTCAGGTCCCCCCATGAAGCCCAGGCCGCAAGGGGGGCATCTGTGTCTGAGATGCATGTTTGCAAACAGTCTCCTTGGCACCCTACACCTCAGAAGAGCCACTTAGGATGGGGCAGGGGGACCGTAAAGTGACCTCCGTTTTCCAGAGCACCAGCTCGTCCAGCATTCCTGGGGCCTGAGGCCACTGGGGGTGGGGGTGGGCTTGAGCTGGGGCGCAGAAGCAGCCAATCTGTGCTAAGTGTGAACTCGAGAATGTGCGGTACAAGGGCTTCCACTAACTACAACCCTCAGAGACACCTGCCAACTGACCCCAGCCCAGGGGCTGCCCTGCTCATGACTGGGACCCTGCATTGTGGCTCTTGCTGGGCCTGACTTTGACCTTGACCACAATGTGGCCCTGCTGTGGCCACCAGCAGTGGCCAGAGTCTGCACTGCCAATGGCTCTGACAATGCCTCTCCGACCCCCAGGACCTGGGCAGAGGCCCACCTCTGGCCTGGGGAGCCTAGGAACTTACCGTAATATGGCCGCCCAGGCGTCCCTGCGCTTCTGTTCATGGGGAACTGCGATCCCCGGCCAGCTACTGTGGGAGAGGAAAACTGCGGGAAGGCGTGGGGCATGCACAGGACCCCGCTGAGGACCCCACATAAGAGAAAGCAAGGGGACCATGGGGACGGGGCAGCCCTCACCCTATAGTCATCCTAAACGGAAGGCAGACTCAGGAAGAGAGGGCTCCTGGGTTCACCTGAGGGACAGCAGCTCTGGGGCAAAGGGGGCCCCCCACTGTTGCCGTGGGGACAAGGACAGCAACTCCCACCATTTCTCCCAAAGCTGGAGATGTGGACCCTCTGAGAGCAGCAGGGAAATTGGGGTGGGGGCAACCAGGCAGAGACGTACGGCTTCTGCACTCGGAGCCGTTGTAGGCCGGGAAGGTTCCGTTCCTGCATCGGATGCAGCTGACGCTCCCGTCTGCGTTCCAGCGCCTGTAGCAGCCTGGCCAGGAGGGAGAAGACAGGAGTTCTCAGCCAAAGCAAAATCCATGTCAGCTCACAGTCTTCTGGGAATTTTCCTATATTTTGAGTCTGTAAAATAACTTCGATTCGAGAACACTAACATGTTTGGAAGTTTGGATGGAATGACAGGCTCTAATTCCAGAAAATGAAACAAACTCAACAAGAATCACAGCAAGCCCCCTCACACCTGGATTCCTATGGGTGCCTGTCACTAACGAGGCCACACTCCTCTACTGGATGCCTCAGAAAGCAATTCAGAGGCCACAACAGGAATCCAGTATGAACAGGTGCTGCGTGGCCTCATGCTCTGGAGGCTGGGCCTCCATCTCCTGCCACCATGGCCTCGTCCACCTGGTGCTCACCCCAGGGCCTCGTCTAGGACCGCTACCTCCAGGGCCTGGATACCACTTCCCTGTGCAGTGTGGACCCTTCACTTGATCCCACACAGGACAAGGACCACCCCCATTAGCTGCATGGCCTCCTGCCCAAGTGTGACCCACAATCCATCTGTCCCTGCCATGCAGTCTCTCTTGGGGGACTCCCTGCAGGATCAACCCAAATTTCTACCTCAGACTGATTCTGCTGCTTGAAGCTCCACCCTCTCCCAGCCTGAAGCCCAGAAGAGGTGTGCCCAGGCACAGGGAGCAGCCCAGATCTTGCTGGCCAGTAGTTTATGGACAGGCTGTCTTGCCAACGGGCCAGGGCACCCTTAAGTGTGAGAACTGAATCTTATACCTGTACTTTTTTAAACATACCCAACCTTTAGCACAGAGGCCAAGCAGACACATTTGACAAATATTGATTGCGGATGCTAAATGCTAGCGATGGACATTGGGGAGTGTCTGGGGCATAAGCCACATGCCACAGTCCCTTCATAATGAATTTTACTGATGTTTCATCTAAACACAGACAGGTCACTATGAAGGACAGAGGTGGGGCCTGAGAGTGACATTGGCTCAGGTGTAACCCACGTAGCTCCAGCAAAGCTGAGGGCAGACACAGCACCTCACAGGAGAACCCAGTCCAACTACGCAGTTTCACTTGGGGTGAGGCTGCCTGCTCTGATGTGGACACACAGCACTATTAGAAACAGGCCTGGTTTGCTGTCGTAACGGGTCTCTCTGCTACAGTGGCTGGCTCTCCCCCTCCCTTGGGAATGGTGAGAGACAGGTGGGAGGCACACACTGACCACTCCAAAGTCTCTGTCCAAGAGGCTGAGGAACGTGGGGGTCCACAGGCATAAAACCTGGTGCCAACACAGTGATTCTCCCCCAAAACGCCCTCCAACTGGCTCCCTCTCCCTTGGGAATGGTGAGAGACAGGTGGGAGGCACACACTGACCACTCCAAAGTCTCTGTCCAAGAGGCTGAGGAACGTGGGGGTCCATAGGCATAAAACCTGGTGCCAACACAGTGATTCTCCCCCAAAACGCCCTCCAACTGGCTCCCTGTCCCAAGTGGTGACCAGGCTCCGCACGAGCTGCCTCAGGACTGCAGGCTGTGTGCAGGGACAAGGCATAGCTGGTAACTCTGCTGGCCTCAGAGGCTCCTGCGTCTCTGCACAAAAACCTCACCATGCCTGTCCCTGCACCCTGTGCCTGGGGTCCCTGCTGACCCCTGCTGTCACTCTCCCAGCCTCTCCACAGGTACCATGGCCTCTGTATAGCTGCCTGTGCCCACAGGAGACACCAGTGCAGCTGTCCTGCAGTCCAGGCTGTGGCACTCTTGCTAACACCGGGACCCAAGGGGAGCGGGCTGTGGCCCTGCTGTTAGGACTTCAAGGTCAGAAGACAGGAGCCCCACCCCCTTGCTCAGCTTCCTGTTTCCCCGTTCTCCCTTAGTATCCTCTCTGTCCTCTTTCTTGGGGGTCACCACCGCTGCCTTCCTGCTTTCTCCCTCGACCCCTACCCCCTGTGAGCAGCCCCTCTGGGCTCAAGCCATCCTTCCTCTGTGGGCGCGATGGAGCCCCTGTTTCCCCGTTCTCCCTTAGTATCCTCTCTGTCCTCTTTCTTGGGGGTCACCACCGCTGCCTTCCTGCTTTCTCCCTCGACCCCCACCCCCTGTGAGCAGCCCCTCTGGGCTCAAGCCATCCTTCCTCTGTGGGCGCGATGGAGCCCCTGGGCGGGGTGCTGAGGACTGACCCTTGCAGCTCAGAGCAGGCTCAGCCCCACGTGCACAAGAGCCCAGCACCACACTGTGCCCAGGCCCTTCTCCCCATGGGAGACTTCCTGCCTACAAGGGCAGCCGGGAGAAGCCGTGGTTCTGTCATCTTCTCATCCACGTCCTCCCCTCCCTTGGCTGCCCCCAGCCGGCTTCTCCCACCAGCCCTGACCTCATTTCCAGCTGCCATCAGATAGTTCTGCCTCTAGAACCTTCCACCGAGCAGAGGTCTCACCCTGCATGCTAACACTGGGGCCAGTCGTCCTCTGTGGTGGGGCCGTCCTGTGCGCTTAGGATGTTGAGCAGGACCTCTGGCTTACACCCACCAGATGCAGTGTCACCTGCCGTCCTCATTTCCCTGTCACTGTGACCACCAAAAACGTCCACAGAGTCAGGATGGCTCCACCACCATCGCCCCCATGAGGTCCTAGAACCACTCCTGCCCAGACCCCTTGCCTAGCGTCCTTTTGAGCCCTGCCTACCACCAGCGCCCCCCAGCCCCCTGCAGAGCAACAGCCTACTTGTGGGGTACCTGCCTCAAGTGCCGAGGCAGCGGTGACCAGGCCCCCTTCAGCCCAGCCCTGAAGCCTGTGCTGCCCCCTTCACTCCTGACTGCTTCTGTCCACTCCTGCCCCCTGCCCCTCCAGTCCCTCACCACCAAGGACACGCCCATGCCAGCGGCTCAGTCTGGGGACTAATGTGACAAAGCGGCTTACCTGGGCCACACAGGCTTGTGCCCGGGCAGGTGCCGTTGATGTCCACCACGTCCACACAACACTCGGGCTGCTGGGCCTGGAGAGATGGCAGTGCGACTGCAGAGCACGCAGGGCCACGCAGGCCACCGGGCTCTTGCAGTGGGGTGCCTTGCAAGTGCATCTCAGGGCCCACAGCCCTGGCCCCTTCTGGAGTCAGCATCGGGTGACTGTCGGGGCGAGCTGAGTACTCAGGGCCACACTGCAAGTCCCTGCTGCAGCCCTGCTGCGGGCAGCCCCCAGGGAAAACCTCAGCCTTGGACACGGGCTGGGGCAGGCAGGGGTTGGAGCTGTGCCTCCTTGGGACTCTGTCCCTGCACACAGATGACAGCCTAGTCACAACACACTAGTCAGTGCCCCTTGCCCTTTTCCTTCAGCCCTGGGAGCCCCTCGAGGGCAGGACCAGGTTTGAGTCGGGCAGGGTATGAGGCTTGTGAGCACTGCATGACAACACAAACAACCATGCATTTCGACAGCAGCCACCAAGACTCCCAAAGGCCAGGAAGGAGAACCCCTCAGGGGCTGCTTTCAACCGCGGCTCAGGCCCACTCAGACATTAGGACCCAGAGGCCTGGGCTTCAGGCAGCCTGGTGGGTGGCAGGATTCAGGAAACCCCAAAATATGGCGTCTTGGCATTTGAGGAAACAGCAGAAGAGGAAAGGTCTCTCTGACCCTCCCTGGCCCTTCTCCCCTCAAGCAGGCCATGAAACCTAGAGAAGTAGGTCACACGAGAGGTGCCCTTCCTATACCTGATCTCTGAAGACAAGGACACAGAGAAGCATCTGAACACAAAGGCCTTGCTAAGTTCCTCCAGTTTCTTACCATCAGATCACCCCTGTTGCCCAGTCATAATTCTGCACAGCTATCCACTTCTTAATCAAAATTAGCTTAAAAAGACACAGGTTTCCATTTCTTTGGGCCTTCACTTCCTTCTGAAGGCTCCCATGTCACATAAAATTTACATTAAATGTTTTTCTCTTGTCAATCTGTCTTTTGTTATAGATGCCTCAGCCATACCTAGGGATGGGGTGAGGAAGGAAGTCTTTCTTTCCCTCCACGGGGCAGAGAAAAGTGTCCCAGCGCCACCTAGGAACCCTCCCAGGCTGCAGGTGCTCTGTGGCGTGTGGGGTCTCCACTCCCACCTCCCCTCAAGGCCTTGCTTGGGAAGTGACGGAGGCTAAGATCTTTCTCTCCGTGGGTCTCCCCTCTCTGGGGCACAGCTGTCTCCAGCCACTGCCTCTCACCTCGTAGGCCACAGGTGGGAACAGGGGTAGCAGGGGCAGGGGGCATTTCAATCAATGAAACTTTATATTAGTCACTACTAAAAAACTAAAGCTGCTAAGCTATACTGCAGTGCCAATTCTAAAGACTCCTTCATGGGAACAGGAAACCCATTTTTCTAGACTATGATGAAATATAAATGCACTGGGATACGCTGACCTCCCCTGTCAGGGGCTGAGAGTCTGGCATGAAGGGTCTGCCCTGTGCCCCCAAAGGCCTCAGCACCCACTGAAATGTCCACGCCACAGGCTGTGGTGGCTTCTCAGATGCTCTCTGCAATTCTACGGATGCCCCTCAATTGAGGGTTTCCAGCCTGGCCCACAGAGGAGGTGCCCGTGCAAAGCCAGCATTTCCAGGGGACGAACTCACCTCACACCTGCGGTGTCCACATACGGCACAGATGTGCTGAGCACCAGTGTTTATGGTGTGTGAGGCTCGTTCCCTATCACAGGGTAGGCTGGACAGGCCTGGGCAAGGGAGGGGATAACCTGAGAAAAAGTGGCCCAGGACACGCTGAGCCACACGAGCTCTGCTGAACTTATCAGGCCCAGAGAGACAAGAGCATGGGGCTCCAGTCCTGTCCCCCTCACCCTTGTCTGGGATAACTGCTAAAAGACATGTTTAGTAGCAGTTTCCAGACTAGCTGCTGCCACCAGTGAGTCTAAACTACTCAAACATTATCACAGCTGTACAACGTGTTCCTCCTCTTCTTTGCTGTAACGTTCTTAGAATTTATGACGCAAAGAGCAATACGCAGCCACTCAGCGTATATGTTATTTCATGAGCCACCACACACTCTTGGCAAACAACTTTGGAACTGCCCCTTTACTGTAACTGCGACCAGTTGGAGCACGTACTAAGGGCAACTTGAGTCTGTGTTTCCCGGGCTGCAGCACTAAACCTTGGCCCAGACAAACCCCTTGTTTTATATATTTCTGTCTCAATTTCTTCCTTTTGGTTGACAACTCAACTCTTGTGTTTACCACAGCTGGGCTTTTGTTTCCACACATGGTGAACAGTGAGAGTACCTGAGGGGTGCCCGAGGAGAGCAGGAGAGTGTCCACACACCTCCATGGGAGGGCCCAGTCCTCCTACCAGCCTTGGCTGAGCCAGTGAGGGAGGCCCTGGCCCTGGAGTCTGAAGCTGCTGCCAGAGCTCTTCCAGCACCAGCTTGGTAGACACTCCTGGTGGGAGCCAGGACGCCCCGACTTCACCACAAGCAGTAACCTGGCACCCAGCCTGGGGTTCCAGTCGGTCCCAGTGGGGGTGGCTCTGAAAAGACCCGTTTTACCTTTCACAACAGGTCCAGTATGGAGGAGAGAAACTTCAAGAGGGCAGAACAGCAATGGTGGGGGCCGGGCGTCAGCTGCCCTCTACGAAGCACAGGCTCCTCAAACCACACAGGGGACGCAGTCAGCATCTCTGGAGTGTCAATGACCCCCAAGGGTGGAAGGGTGAGATCCCTCTCGGGGAAAAGCCCACCACCCTCCATGGAGGCTCGGATTTGACATCCTGGCAGCAGGGACATGTGGCAGGGACACCTACCGCGCTCTCCGTGGACTTGCTGGCGACTCTCACCAGAAGGCCAGCCAGGAGGGTGAGGCGCTGCAGTGCCATGCCAGGGGGCGACAGGAGTGGGAGGCCTGTGGCAGAGAGAGCAGGGCCAGTAACGGAGAGGGCAGGACCTGCGACAGAGGGCGGGGCCTACAGTGAAGTGGAGGGCGGGGCCTGGTGAGGGGCGGGGCCTAGGCGGGGCGGGGCGGGCCGAGCGCTCCGCGGGGCTCCTTAGGGCT